CTGACCATTTGCATCAATTTTGCATTTACATTCTTGCTGCCTTTATCTGTTAATAAAACAAGTTTTCGTTGCACTTACCTTAGTGGTATGGATAAATTAAACAGTAAAACATAGTTAGGATTGTCTCTGTTTAAATTTAAAGAGTTATTTCTAGCTTTTTGTTTGGTGATAAGAAAAGATTTATCTCGATATTTTGAGAGACCGTAACAATCTGCAAATGCTACTTTTGATTTTGCTATTTAAACAAGGCAGTGAGCTTTCTCTCAAAAAAACAGTAAATGCTACTAAAAAATGATAATTATATCTTCCTCTAAAAAATTAAAATTGTCGAAGATGTCATTTGAACCAGTTCAGTATAATCCAGTTCAGTTTCCCAATTCAGATTTCTCTGCCTTTTTACAAATGAACTCTGACGATGAAGTGTCATTAAAGCTACATTAAGTAACTAGACGAAATATTTTATCAACGTGAATTTTATAAACTAAGAACAATATATCCGTAATTTGAAAGGGCTGTTCAAATAATAAGGAAAAATGTTTCCTATAAAATTGTGTTCTTCAGTATTTGGGGGACAGGGATGGACCACGAACTACCTACCAAGCACTGGTGCTCCTTCAATGCCTTTGCGCCGTTTATATATTAAACTTTCATTTAGTTAATGGCAATCAAACACATCAGCACTTGATGTCTTGCAAAAGCATGACAATTTTCTGCAAAACAAATATATAACTTTATTACTGCAGGAAAAAACCTTATCTTATAATTTATCATTTTCTCCATAGAAAGAGTCTGCACGAAAAAACTAACAGTCTATAGTTGTAACTGGCCATTGCGTAGAAAGACTGCGGTGGAGAAATAACTCAAGCCAATTGCAAATTACTTCCGTAATTAGATGTGGATGGAAAACACACGGGGACTTCTCTGTGACCGTGGAAGTGTAACCTTACCTTCATCAAAATATGCCAAGTTCTAGTGTCTTAATCGCCTTTCTTTTGGTTACCGTTCCACTTTGGGGAGGCAATGCAGTTACAGATTGTAAGTACTTCTTCATATACTGAATTCCAATGTTACTGAATCATTGCCTGCCATTAAGAATGTTTTCAAATTAGTATCTTTGGTGGCGAAGGTGAAGAATCCGGTTCGGATAATCCGAGTAACTTCGTGTCATACAGGTCGAGGAGATTTTGTTGACTGCTTCAACGAATCACAGGTCACCTAGGGTCAGGGAACGCTCTCCTAGAAATTTGACATCAAGCAAAACATGGAACCTCTCCGGATTGTTTATGCCTGCCTCTTTGGTTCTTTAAATTAAAAACGGCAATAAAAATCGGCTAAGGAATAACAAAACCGCCATTACAGGGACTTTAGAGCAGAGAGGGGCTATAGGGGCCTATAGCCTCCGCTTTTGCTAGAAAATGTAGAAATGGGCCATCATCAGTCCTCCTTTAATCGTTTATAGCGCTACCCTGTGTTTCTAAACTCTTCCTGGTATTTGCTTTACTTTCCAAGTTGTCTGAGGTTACTTTCCAAGTTGCACGCTTTTTCACAGCGATGGTTAAGGAAATTCCTTAGTGAATGATAAAGCTTCTTTTTTCCAATAAAATTTCAGGCTGAAAGTGTCCACAATATTCCTTGAAAAGTAGCGGAAGTGTTTGAGTGCGGTTATATAATCTGTATGTCTGATTGTTATATGGTTGAAGGGCTAAAAAACGTATTTGTTGTGTAAAGTTTCACGCTGTGTCCAAACAGTAATCTTGTTATAAGTTACGCCCTTTTGACCTCTATCTTACTGATTGTTATAAGAGCATAAATCTTCGGACATCTTCTAAGTTTGATGCACTGAGAAAAAACATAAATGATATAGGCTTCGTGAATGTTTTTTGTCTGCAGCGCAGGCTAGGCTTAAGGACAGTTCAGTGAAAAAACCAACATACAGAAAGCAACAGGAACGTAATGTGTGATGAACAAGAACTAATTTTTGCAATAAATATCTTGTTCATCAGAGGAATAAAACACGTGGGCCGAAAAATGCAAAATCGAAGTAAAACAAGCTAAATTTCGACCATCAGCCTGTGTATTCCACGTGCTTGAAAACTGCAGAACCACCATTTTGGTGACGTCATGCAAACTTTTAATAGCAATAACTCGTTATATGCATATTTAATAGAGTTTATAATTTAGAACTTTATTCTCTTATTACAATGCCTAGCAAGATAGTTTGAGTGATTTTTCAGAAAAAAAAGTAAATAATATTGATGGCCGTAGAAAATAACGTCATTGATCACTTGATTTCTGTTTCTCTTAAAATCCCCAGCCAGGCACGTATATGCTGGGGGGGGTGTAGGGGGGGGTGTGAGGGGGGGTGTGACACCCCCCTATCTTTCATCAGGTCGGAAAATTTGAGGACAGTCGGAAAATTTAAAGATGTTGGTAGAAAGCTACAATGCCTGCCAAAAGTACTTCGAGCACCTAGCAATTTACGCTGCATTTGATATCTTTCATTCCTTTCATGAAAAAAATTGCTACTTCCGCCCCCTTCCCCCTAAAACAATGTTGATGATTTAGAGAAATATCATAAAACAAACGCAAAAGAAAGTGCTTCCTAAAATCCTAACCCGTTTGATAGTAAACCAACATTGTTCTGTAGGGAAGAGGGGGATGATTGATTTTGACCTTGGAAATTGATGTCAGTGTTCCAAGATTTTTGGCAGGCATTGTAGGTTAATCTGAGTAAATTTGAATCATTTGTGAAAATTGAAGTTTTCATTCAAATGACCTTGTGAACTGTAGCTCAAAGAGAAGCATAAGAAAGGTATAAGTTCAAAAGAAAATAGTTATTTGGTAAAAGGAAGCCCCAAAAAGAATGAGAGGCGATGCAATACAGAAAAAACGATATTTTGTATGAAAATGCAAGTATTTTCAACTACATTCGTCATAATGGGGATAGTGTGATCCAAAGAAAAGAATAATCCAACAAATCCTTTAGTAACTTAATTTCCAAGGAATACGCCGAGTTCTATGGGACCTCATAAAGTAATGATTTCAATTTTAAGACTTGAATTAATCAAACGTAATAAGAGCATGCCTTAAAATAACAAAATGCTTTAAACGACTGGAAGAAAATACCTGCAAGAAGAATTCTGAAATGTAGTTTAAGCTAATCTAAAAAGTAAAAAATTTCTGCTCGCTTCGCTCGCAGGGAAGCCACTTCTTCCAGATATCCCTAAGGCCACCACTAACCTCCCACCGGCCTCTTCAAACGTACCGCTAGCATAATGAGTGCCCCGTAAAATAATCGGAATAAAATATCGTGAAGCGTTTTTGTGCGTTTTTCAAAAGATGGTTCTTTAGTCTCGAGCACCCCCCCCCCACTTTGAATTTCTTGGCGCCGCCCCTGTGAAAGACTAAACGACCTCATGATTCCTACTTGGGAGAAGGACATTTTGGACAATGTAAATTTAGATAAGATAGTGAAGCAATGGGCAAGTTGTAGAAGGAGAAAAATTAAACCCTGATTTTTGGACTACGTATGTTTTGATGCACTAATTAAACTAACATTCTTTATGCTCAATCTTCTAAATTTACGAAATCTAGAAACTTTATGATACAGCTGAATAGTTATTTACGAGACGATATATAAGGTTATGTTGATAAAAGACTATTAAAGTTTAGGCCCTCATACAAAATTAGAATTGACCTTTGTCAGTCGGAAATTTTGAGCCCTTCACCCCCCCCCCTCCCCTCAAAAAAATATCTGCCAATTTACGTCCCTGCCCCCAGCCCTTCCTCCATTCATGACCATATCTGTAAAACTGGGCATGTAGCATATTTTGAAGATATTTTTATTCTGTCCAAAACAAATATTTTCTTTGATCTACTCATTCATGAAAGCCTACTCATACATCGTCGCAGGCCTTCGCTTAATTTCCAACAGTCCTCTACTCCTAAGATTTTGTTCAAACTTTCTTTTCCCGCATTTTTTTTCTTTGTTGTGCCTTTATTCCTTGTTTATCTCTTTAGGTTGTTTATAATTCCTTGTGACTTCTCTTGCGTCCTGACTGCTCCCCTGGCGTACTGCTTTATCTCATGGTTTGATATCCCCTTTGTTTGACCAATGTATTTGTAGTTGTTTTTTCGCCTTTTATTGTATACTAAAGATGACTCTAAATAGAATTGAAACGATAATCGCACTGTTTTTACTACAACCTTTAACCTGGGTTAAACCTGGGTTAACGTTAACCTGGGTTAGAGATTTTGTAGTATAAACGCAGCTAACCCGGGTTGAACCTGGGTTAAGCAAACCCCACTCTGGAGGTGGGTTGAAACTAGGTTGACCCCAGGTTGAAAACTTCGAAATGCAGTCTAAACGTAAACCTGGGTTGAACCCAGGTTAACGATCTAATTCGTGCATGCACCTTTTGAGCCATGAAAGGCGCCAAACACAAAGTCAAGACAAATTCGTCTTGGAACGCCCGTGCAGAAAGGCCCTTCAATTTTCAGCAGCATATCTTGAAAATGAATGAAACAAGGGCTGAAAGAGGTAAACTATGGGGCGACGATAAAGTCATGTTGTTAATCGAAATGTGGTCGGACGAAGACATCCAGAAACAGCTAGATTCATGTACCAGTGAGCGTTCTTCACAACGAAGCGCATGCGTGACGAATCTAACCTGGATTCAACCCAACTTTGCATTTACACTATACTTTGTTGCAAATGTAGTGTAAACGAAAACGGGTTCAACCTGGGTTCAACCCAGGTTAGCGTTAACCCAGGTTAAAAATGGTAGTGTATATCTAATGAATATGTCTTTTGATGGAATTGTCTAATACTTAAATTTGTCAATCTCGTCAGTATGAATACCAGATTTGTCTAATTATCTGACATTTAACAAGAAGTTGTGGACTGTTTCAGCCATATGCATTTTTTTTTCGTCGTGGTTCTTTTTATCAAGTTCATTAACAAGCTGCGATTTCCAAAGTCCCCATTGATTTCTATTGTGTTGAAAAATTGTATCCAAGGCTTAAAATATTTAGCAAAGGCTCAAAGTTCCCAAAGCAAGAACAAATACTAAGATCATGCATTTTGTTGGAGTGTCGTGGGAATCCCCTGTCGATGGTTGCCGCCGAAGGACTGGAAAGTGTACGAGCATTTATGCTTCTAGTTCCCTGAAAAATGCACTATTTTAAGATCATTTTACTAGAGCAATCCTCCTAATTTTATTGGGAATTATTGTCTTATTGCAAACAGACTGAACAGCAGATAAAAACAACTGATACATTTTTGCCATGGTCTTCAAAATGCCATGTTGTCGCGTAGAAAGCAGAACTAGTTGTCATTTTAGATCCCTCTCTCAATCTTGGCATTTCTTTCGAATCTAGAAAAAATCTTGATTTCATTATATCGTCTTCCCGACAAAAATTCTACCTAACTTTTCAAATATTTTAAACAAATTTGCACCGACCAGTTGCACTTGTGATATTTGTAAGCAATACACTTGCAATATTGGTTGTTTGATTAGAGGTCTCGTCCAAATCAACACAAGAGAAGCTTTTAGTTTTGATTCATCTACCTCAAGTATGTCTTCCTAAATCAACGATAATTAACCAACAAAATCGATGATTGCATTTATACCAAACAACAGTCCAAAATCCAGCTAACTTTAGTTCAGAAGCTTTTGTCTTAGGAAACGATAAATACTACTATTTTACTAAACATCTCATGAAGGTTTCATGCTTGCACGAAAGAATACAAAAATTTGAAAAAGTTATAACTTTAACCTTAACTATTTTCTGTCTACCCTAGATGGAAAACAGCAGAATTTTTTTCTTATGTTTGGGTTTTACTTGATTTTGAGTATAAATACATGTAATGTTTTCATTTTTGAAGTATCTTAATTGCATTATATTGTAGTGATTTATCGTTTTCATAGTAAAATGTTGTTTGTCGAAATTTTGTATTGTAACCTTAATTCGGTTTCCTTCGTGGTCTGTTCATTTTCCAGTTTGCAGCCAGCCCCTGGGAATGAAGACAAGAATTATTGCAAATGATCAAATAACAGCATCATCCTCCATCCCAAACTACGAACCACGCAGAAGCTATCATGCTCGCCTTGACAACACAGATTGTTGGTGTGCTGATCAAAATCAACCACGAAATGGACAGTGGGTGAAAGTGGATTTGAAGCATACATTTAGCATAACAGGTATCACCATCCAAGGAGACCCTGCAGGTGCATCAAGTTACATAAAAGAGTTCACTCTCAGGTACAGTGTTGATCTGACAAACTATATGTATGTGACAACAACCACATACAATGATCCAATGGTAGGTCTTCTGCAAGTCTTATGGTATCTCAGTTGTTCCTACACAGTGACTTTTAATTCAGTTCTATTACTGTTCTATCAAAAGTTTTGTTATTTGCCAGAACTTTTTTTTCTCAAACTTCTAATGAATAATGTATCTTATAGTTGCTAACTATTTGAAATATTAGCAAGTTGTTAGCCTCTCTTGTTCAATGAAAAGTAACTCGGTATTTGTATCTCAGCCTCACTAGCAATGGGTTTTCAAAATGAAGAGAGCCATTACAGCTTGTCATTAAATTTTCTAGTAAAGATTTTGTTTGTTTTTGTGTAGATATTCTCTCCATCTTCAATTTTGATGATAGGTAACTCAGTTAAGCATTATTTGATTATATACAATAACTTGTATATTCAGTAACTTGATTCTGCAAAAGCGCTTGGCAATCTTCTATTAAAGTAAATTACTGTTAATTTTTGCCCATTATTTACTTTTTGGAGTTTAGCTCCAAATTAATATTTCCTACAACTTTGCTTTGTATTGTTTCTTCTGATTGACTACATTTACTTTAACACATGTTACATAATGTTTTTCTCTTATAGAAATTTGCAGGAGCTACTGGTCCTAACCAGAAAATAAATGTGAGGTTTCCTAATCGACCCTTTTCTGCACGATATCTTGAATTTAGACCTACAGACTCAAATGGTGCTTATTTGTGTGTAAGATTTGAACTTTATGGATGCCTCTATGGTATGTATTTGGTAGTCAATTGAGCTACCTGATTGTCCATTACTTCATTCTTGTTGTTGTAGTTGTCCTTCAGGTCGCTCGACACCTGGTGATGTTATGAACCTGACGTCTACATTCAGCTCTATTTTTAGTGTCTTTGTTGAGCTGATAAACATTTCGTGTTGTCATCGTCTTAATGTTGTCAAACCACTTTGTTGCAGGTCTTCCTCTACCTCTTTTCCCTTCAATTTTTCCTTGCATTATCAGTTTTTCTAAACTGTTGTCTGCTCTCTTTATTTGGCCATAATATGTTAATTGCCTCTTTCTGATGGTGTTGAATAATGATCTTTCTGTTTTTATTTGGCCTAGTACCCATTCATTCGTTCTTCTAGATGTCCACGGCACCATTAGGAGTCTTCTCCATACCCAAAGTTCAAAGGCTTCAATCTTTTTCATTTCTGCTTTTCTTATTACCCATGTCTCACTTCCATATGTAACAACAGGAAATAATAATGCTTCGATTATTCTTATCTTGGTATTCAGTGTGATGTTTTTGTCTTTCATTATCGTTGTCAAATTGATCATAGCCTTCCTACCCAGCATTAGCCTCCTTCTAATTTCTTTTGCGTGATCAGAGGTTCTGGTTAATGTACAGCCAAGAACATTGAAATCCTGTACTACCTCGATGGATTCCCCATCTACTTCAAAGTTGGTAATTTCTGCCGTCGTAATTACTTTTGTTTTTTTTTTAAATTTAGTAGTAGCCCTTTTTCCTTGCTTGCTTTCTTAACATTTCTGATAAGTTCTTCCAGATGTTTTTTGGTTTCGGCAATCAGGGTCGTGTCATCTGCATACCTTAAGTTATTAATGAGTCTACCATTTACTTTTATTCCGATGTTGTCTTCATATAGTCCTGCGCTTCTCATAATAATTTCACCATATAAATTAAAAAGGCACGGAGATAGAATACAGCCTTCACTAAAAACCCTAAAACAAAATGCTGTAGTATTTAAAATATTAACTTTTTATATTTTTTCTTCTCAAATAATAGTACTTGATCCCACCGTGGTAGGTTCTTGAGCAGATTAGCCATTTCCTCACCTATGTCTTCAATTCCGGACATTTTAAACCTGTTCTGTATCATAGGAAAAAAGTGACCATGGCTTTTTGATAGACGACTTTCAAAATCAATCATATTTGTTTCTACTGATATTTTTACTAACTTGGAAGAACAAGAGGGTACCCAAAAGGTATCCTGATTTCCGAATTACTGGTACTTTGTTGGCCCCATTTCCGATACCTGATACTCAATGAGGCTTAAGTGAGACTAACACTATGTTGAGCCCATAAATACCCCTAGTTCAGCAAAGGGAAAAGAAATGCTATCAGACAACACATCTTACACTTGAAGAAAACTTATTCTAAACAAGAAAACCCCAGGCGAAAAATACTCCACAGCATTGCGCATATTCTTGTAGAATTGCTTTGGTACAAGTAAATTGTGCAGAACGCTTTTAAAAAGAACATAAAGAAATATAAGTTTAGGGTGAAAAAACTAAAAGGATGAAGGCCCTTAGTGAAGTTAACTCTGATCACATTTCGGTTTATCATCGTTAACCTTTCTTTTCATTTTGTTTTTTAATGGGAATACAGATTCAGAGATCATTTGATTTCCGTTCTTTCAGCCAATAAGCATTGCGCATGCGCAGTTTTTTTGAACAATTTCGTATTGACAAACTTTCAGACAACAGTAAATTTCGTACAAATGGATTTTCGCACAAATGTGAGTCCGAAATATTGTCACGCCGCAATATCTTGTATTAAATACGCAGTTATCCAACTTTTTGAAGAATTCTCTAGTTGATTTGAGTCTTGGCCTTCTATTTACAGTCTGTGGACAGGGCCTTGGCATTGAGCATGGCAGTGCGCTTCCTTCAGGTTTTGCAATGACGTCATCTTCCCACTCCTCTGGACAAGGAGCGGTATCAGGTCGTTTAAACAATCCAACATCCGTTTGGTGTGCCTCGGGAACCACTAGCGAGTTTCTGCAAGTAGATTTTGGGAAAATTGTTACTGTGAGTGGAATTGCAACTCAAGGTAGCCCTAGCTTTCCATCTTGGGTCAAATCTTTCTATGTTGACTATGGTAAAACACTCAGCTCTCTTGTCACCTACCAAGAAAATTCTGGGAATAAGGTAAGTTAAAACATGATTAAGTTTCGGAGACCTTTTTATTATGGTTTTGATTTGCTTTTGTAAGCAATACGGAAATTTTAACTTTACTAGTGCTCCTAGCAGCACTTGAAACATGCTTGAGCATTCAGCATTCGTAGAAACATAGTGTGGAATTCGAAAGCAATTTTGTATTTATCATATGTCGAAGATTTGGAATTTTGTTGTTAGCCTCATGGCCTTAAATCCTTATGTTAGCCCCGAAAGAAAGTCATGGTCGAAGTTTAATGCGATCACGTCTGCGTACTTTTTACCACCTCATTTTTAGTCCTTCATTGGAAACTCTGATCAGAACACGATTGTTGTGAACTGGTTCCGTGTGCGACTGCAAACGAGATACGTGAAAATAAAACCAATCACGTACAACTCGGGTTTCTGTATGCGAATCGAGATTCTTGGCTGCAACTCAGGTAACAATTTATCTTGCAAAGTTTACATGTTCCATAGGAATTACAGCATTTTCTGTCTTACTGGGGATTAGCTGCTTCAAACTGTTGATACGCAAAGTTATAGTATCTTCAAAGACCTAAGCCAAGGATTCAGAAGATGAGGATTTAGCACATCATTTCCAAATCGTCATAAGTTTTGTTGGTAATCTTCAGTTGGTATAAATATATTGCATTAAAGAGAAATCTTTTCCGAATCGCTAACTTTTTGTCTCAAGCGCATCTCAGTTTCTTAGAAACGCAACCAACTTACGTTCATGCTTTGGTTAAGTACTTATCATCGGGCAGTCTTTGTGGATATGATTTAAACAATAGTGGTATCTGGAAGAAATCGATAGCGAATCACGTCTACCCTCACAGCATTGTCTTTAGGTCACCGAATCAGGATATCTAAACAGAGATCAATTTTTTTTGCTGTGAAAACGATACTAACATTATCTATTTGATCCTAAGATTCCGTATATGAATTCGGTGCTGAAAACAGAGCTTTGCCAGACAACAGATTCTCGGCTTATGCAACTACAGATTTTCTTGGAAATGGTAGATACAAGGCAAAGGATGGTCGCTTGAACAATGACAGACCCTGGGGATGCAGCAGAAATGAAAGATCGTTTCTCTGGTTCAAAGTTGATTTAGGCCGAGTTATGCTGGTAACTGCAATTGCTACACAGGGTGACAGAACGTACGGCCCAAACTATTTCCCTGACTTCAAATTGCAGTATACTCGGGGTTCAAGAAATATCACGATCAAAGAAGAATCTAGCTCAAGTGAGAAAGTGAGCTTCCTATCTGCTTTCGTGATATTTGTGTTACGAAACAAACAACGTAATGATTTCTTGGTATGACTAGTAGATTATCGTCATAACGTGCTCAGTAATAATGCGATTTTATTCGTTCTTATATCTCCTTTGCATTTGCTTTTATAATCATCATAACTACTCATTTTTAAGGTTTTCATTGGAAACACGAACAATGCTGGAGTCAAGTTCAACCTTTTTGACAAGCCAGTATCAGCAAGATATATCCAATTCATTAAAAACAGCCCTGTATTATGGGATAATACGTTGCGTCTTGAGGTTTACGGTCGGCCATCAAGTGAGTATTCAACCTTCGGCATTCTTTGCACGGTTGTTTATGTTAAGTGATTGTTTATTTGTTCATTAAAGCATTCGAGTTGCAACAGAAGTCCTCCTACAGTTTTGGCTACATTTGACATTTGGCAAATTATTTGGATATAGATAACAGGTATATAATGCAACTACATCGTTGGATTTTATGCTCTCAATTGTCACACTCTTTAGCCGCATTTACACGAGCAACTTCTCACTCAAGTTTTTAGCAAGTTCACTTGCTAAAGATTGTCATATGCAAAACTTGCCCGTGTAGATAGATGACTTGACAAGTAAACTTGGCACTTTTGACTCAATTTCGACCCTTTTTTGCGGCCATTGTCTATTGTTGGTAGTCATTTTTGGCACGATAAACTTTTCGTGTCACAGACATTAAGGCGTAACCATGGTCAATACGATTGTCCGAACAAATAACTATTGTCAACAAGACGTGTCCCTTTTTTTATACGAGCAGTTATAACCCGTTAAGAAAAAATTATCAAACAAAACTTGTTGCTAATTTACAAAGCCAAGGAAATTTTTTATTTTGTAGTTGAAAAAGCACCAAATTTTATTTTAAAAGTAAGTTTCAATGACGCAAGCACCTTTATAAGGTATATGACTTTGATGCAAACAGTAGTTTTATCTAGAACAACTTTCGCTGTCAAATCCAACACATTTATTCAAACCCTAATATTCTCCTCAAATCTACAGCATTGAAAATGTGTAAAATTGTATCTAGACTAATTGTGTATAGTGGTAAATGTAAATCAAATTTCAGAAGAGTTACAGTTAGGTAAATCAAATTATAGAAGTGTGAGTAACTTAAAAGACCAGCCTATTACATGATTTCTTTTTTTGTGCGATGAAAATGTGCTGCAAAATTTTCCGGTGACTACATTCTAACTACAGTTTCAACTATAATTCTACAACTAAATAATGGAGACTGTGGTAGCAAAGTCGTCCTTGGCACTTTCTTCCTTTTCAACCTTGAAACTGAGAAAGAAGTTTACTGTTTGCAACATCTGACAAAGGGTATTTGACTTTGGGGATACCGTGATTCCAAGCCATTAAAAATATTTTTTCCTGCAGTTTGCAGTTCAAGTTTTGGCATGGAATCTGGAGAGCCAAGCACGAATAACCCGACTGTGAGTGCTTCAAGTGGAATAGTACCCGATGAGCGAAGCAAACTAAACACTCCTAGCTCATGGTGTGCAGCAACGTCTGATACGAACCAGTTCTTTCAATATGACTTTGGCATGGCAAAGGTGATTAGTGGATTTGCTATTCAAGGAGATCCATTGCTCGAAAAGTGGGTTGAAACTTTCAAAGTTCAATATGGGAATGACGTGTCATCCCTGTCGACCTACCGGGAAGGGGGAAGCGATAAGGTATCATTTTAAGCGCAATTTCTTTATCCTTAAATTTTTCTGCAAATTATTCCAATTTTATGTGAAGTTTTTTGACGGTATGTGAAAATCTTAAATCTGTTTCATTTTCCAGATTTTCACTGGTTGCAAATCACGTGAGGGTATTGTTTATCATTGGTTCTCATCCAGTTTGAAAATACGGTATCTAAGAATAGTTCCGTTGACCTGGAAAACTGCGATTTGTTTGCGGATGAATGCCTATGGTTGCCCAAATTCAGGTATTGTAACATAACCAAAGACTTATTTGTCTCGTCTGTTGTGCTCATTTTAGGTTGTCTGTTGTGGCTCAGATTACATGTTCGATTTCGAAAAATGCTTTTGAAAGGCTAAGATCTTTGTCTTTGACAAGAGCACACGACAGATTTCTGTCTTGGGATTGCAAAAGACCAAAATCTTCGTCTTTCAAAACAAAAATCTGCCGTATGCGTTGGGTTTAAGTGCCCGTTCACACTACTCTGTTTTCAAATGAAAACGTAGTCAAACTGTGCCGTTTTTGCCTTGCGTTCACACTACTCTGCTATGAAGACGGAGCCGTTTGAAAACGCTAATGAAAACGGATAATTTCGAATACGGTGCCTCTTGAATACGCTCCGTTTTCAGTGTGAACAACTTCAACAAAATACGTGCTTTCTACTAGCACACCAAATGTTGTAACTGGTAGCTGTTACAACACAGTTATTTAATTTCACTTATAATGATGTCAATTTTTGAGGATTCGTGAACGCCTGTTTCCAGAAAATGTGCTCACCAACAGCGTTTCTGTTTAAGTAGTGTGTACACCAACCGTATTCAAATCATATTCATTTGAAAACGGATAAATGTGAACGGACAGCGTTTTCGTTAACGAAAACGGAGCGAACGAATACAGAGCAGTGTGAAGATAGCCTAAGATGATTGAATTCAACCAGTGATCTAAGCTGTGATAAACGGATTGCCTCAATGATGACGTCACAAAGTTTCACATGTATAAAAGTTCCACAGTGATGACGTCAGAAAATTATTTTTTATATTGTTTGAGTCTGAATCATGGAACAAGGAACATCATAATTGAATACTTCTACTCTCGCGAATAAGAGTACAAATGTAATATACTCTTATACGAATATATGTATTATAGAAAACAAATAAGTGTGATCCTGTATAACGTATTTATAACGCCGCAAAAGTATTCAATTGCCTCCATTTCATTTCATTCATTTCATTTGAATGTTTAAGGAGGGTAGCCCTTCAGCAATGTTGTTTTTCAAGGGGCCCTCCACTCAAAATACTTACAGAAATTTTTATAAAAAACACATTATCCTAATTACAATTCAATATTTACAATCTAAAATAAATCCTATTTTAACTTGAATTTAATTTTACTATAAATATCTATAACGAAAGGCGGAATGGTAATTTCCAATATTCCATTATATTTCATTTACGCCTATTTACAATTTCGCAAGATTTTTTTGAAGTTGGCCAAGGAAGATGCCTGTTTACAAGTAGCTGAAAGGCCATTCCAAGACCTAGCACCTCTAAACGAGAAGCATTTCTGTCCATTTTTGAAGATTTTCTATTGTAGCCTTAGGTCAGTTTATGTATTCCTAAGATTCCTAAAATTTAAATTGGATTTTTCTGTGAAAAGATCACACATGAGTTGTGGAGCCTGTCCATGAATCGATTTGAAGACCATGTTATTTGACTAACTAGTGATTAGCTCGTCTATGGTCCTCTAGCTAAGCTCCTTTATGAGTGGTTGGCACGGCGCAACAAAACTGCTGCTAGATACAATACGAGCAGCCCGGGTTGTAGTTTTTGTAAGTGTTTGATTTCGGTAAGACCACAACAGCCCCAAACCGAGCAACAATAGCGAAAGTGTGGCTCCACAATGCTTGTGTGCATAGTTTTCAGACATTCAGATTTCAGACTTTCAGACTTTCTTTTGGCAGAAAGGATTTTGCATGCTTCAAAAAGGCAATTCCTTTGGAGACCATGAAAGAAATTGTTTTAGTGTGTCCCTTCCAATCTAGTGTGTTATCGATCTGTATTCCAAGATATTTGGTTGTATTCCGAGTGTATTCAATACGTGCTCTGTATTTGAAAGTTTCCGTATTCATTTTCGTTTTAAAGTGACTCCGTTTTCAAAGTGGAGCACAATAAAAAGACAGATAGGTTTGACTCAATTTCATTTAAAAACGGACCAGTGTGAACGGGCCCCAAGAAAGCAGTAATCCTTAATTGCACAATTCTTTTTCCCGCAACATCAAATGTGCAACAGATCAACTAGTTTTACACAGTTAAAGCTGTTTCTTGTTCGCCTTTAGGCTACTTTTTCAAAATTCAAAAATGTTGGAAATAGATTTTTAATTAAATCATAATTACACAGATTTGTGACGCATTCATTTGCTTTTCATGTCAACGCAGCTTTTTTTATGGGGCCGTTTCATAAATATGGTCTGAATTAAGAAATGCTCGAATCATATTTTTGTGACGTATTACCCGGCAGAAGTACTTTGCTAATTAAGAACGCTGTATGTGAACTCAAGCTATTCAAGCATCTCAGTATTTTGTTGAGCAAGGAATGCAAAGGACAGGAAATTGCCTGACCATGTTGTTTCTTTGGATATTATCAGTATTTTCATTGCATTGTTAGGATTTTAAACAAAAGTGTGGTACGTCCGACTTCATGATATACAAATATAAATACTAATAGAGTACATGAGAATATATACATAAATGAGGAGGCTCTTTTCACATCCACACGGCTGCATAAAACATGATTGTGCTCGAGAACAATCTTTATTGATAAAACTTTGCAAAATTAAATTAAACGATTCAAAGTTATTCCCATTTTCTCACTAATGCTTGACTACCAATCTTGGAACTTTGTGAGTATAAAATTTGCAAGTCAGTGAAATATCCGTGTGGCATTTTTTACTGCCGCGGTCAGCAGTCCTTGGAGCTCGGGCCTACGTTCGAGAGTTTGGGCCTAAGTTCAAAAGATCTGTGCGTACTGTATGGTCTAAGTTTGTTTTAACTAGTATTGTTTATTATATCGATCATTAGCGTTTTTGTAAAAGAAGTGAAAGTCATTTTATTGTTGAGCCAATTCATTTATCTCGGATAAACACTTTGCCTCCTATCTGTTTTCTTCACAGAATGCCGGGATACTGTTGGAATTCAATCTTCAAGCTCAATTTCCGATGCCTCGATGACATCATCAACATCTGCTAATGGAAATGGAGCCCACAAAGGGAGGTTTAACGTAGAATCTGTTTGGGAAGCTTGCCAGTTCGGTTCATGTTTCCCGAAAGAATCAACTGGAGCCAAACCATGGATTCAAGCATGTTTAACAACTGTACAGACAATCAGTTCGATTGTGATTCAGGGTCAGGGCAATGTTGATAACTTGGCAAAAGCGACAGAATTCTCGCTAAAGTATTCTACCGTCGTTTCTGGTACATTTTTCGGATACAAGAACAGCAATTTATTACAGGTGAGTTTAATTGTTTTTTTCATTACACATTATTTCGAAATTCAATTTTTCTTCCCTTGTTGCATAAAGTGACTATATTTTTTTTAATTAAAAAAAACGTTCTCATTAATGTCTTATGTGGCCAATTCCCCGGTAAATAAATGGTTATCTAATGCTTGCAAGAATGATAGGTTAATGCTAAATGACAGATTATGTGAAAATGTTAAAAGCTTTGCTGATCCAGTGTTGTTATTTTGTGATTACACTTCCCTTTAATATTGGTAGAAAATGATAAAAGGATCTCTCTCTTTTGATGTGATTTTTCCTTTTGTTTATAGAAATTCGCAGGTCCCGATGGTCGTTACTCGTCATCGCAGATAGATCTACCACATACAATAATAGCCCGTTGTATTCGCTTGCAAGTCGAAACTCAATCTCCCACTAATCAGAATGTTGGACTGCGTTGGGAAATGCTTGGCTGTGCCTCAGGTATGTAAACTGAAGAAAATATCTTAGCTTCAATTCAAATCTCTTACGAATAACGAGTTAAAAAAGAATTGCATTTCTTGAGTTTTCGCTACATATAAAGAGCTATGTCAAGATTTTAATAGTAGCATTTTAAAAGGTGTGGAACCTGAGGGTGGGAGAATTCGATATTTCTTGGAAATGTATCTCAATTGACCTAGTTAGAAGAAATTGAAAGCTGTTCAAGCAGATGACTCCGAAAATTAACCAGGTTTCCTCCTTATCAAAACATCTTATTTTCCTTATTCATCAACTCTGTAACATGACAACCCTTCTGAATCATAAAAATTGCAAAAACAATCTTGATTAAAGATTTCACACATTTAACTCTTGTTCAGACTGTTAGGCTACAGCGGAACCTTCTTATGCCTAATAACAACACGAACTATTAAAAGAGCACGATCAATAGGCTTCATGTACCCTTGTTGATGCTATTTTTAAGAAATAATGTTTTTAAGAAATATGTAATTGATGCAGTTTTGTATCGGGTATATATTTGGATTATCTTGCGGGGTTTAGGGGTGCTCAGAAATGCTGCTTAAATCTATTTAAAAATTATCATGTCAGAAGAACTTTCTTGATTGTATAATTTTGATGCAGGCCTATTATGGACTCGCCCAGGAAAGCTTCTTAGAACCACGTTCTTGAAGACATTGGAAACACTTTTTTCCATAAAGATTGTGAATAGCTGGGTATGCCACCCAGATATGAGCGTGCAGTGACATTTTAACTTTGTTCATCAAATAATATCAGATTTAATTTATGTAAATGTTGCATGCTTCAAGCAACGTTATTCTGTTTTAGTTGGCCAAGTGTCTTCGATCTCCATTGTACCGTCAAGCCCGTCCATTGCAAGAAATGGCGAAGTAGCATTGACATGTACGGTAGCAGCGCAGCCTGGCATTGAAGCAGCTTGGAAAAACGGAAGCAACACTTTGACATCCACTGGCATTTATCAAGTTGGAAACGATGCCGTAACAAATGAAAATATAAATGGAGAAACGACCAAAACTTTGAAGATCACTGCCACACCAAACAATGTTATTAACTCATTTGCAATTTGTACTATCACCGATTTTGCGCAGGGGCTTGTTCAATGTAAACACACATTTGGATGTTCAGCAATGTATCCTGGGATATCGAGCACTTCGAAGAGTGGCACAGTGGAAGTTACTGTAACCGGACTCTTGGGTAGGTAGGGCCTAAATATCAGAACAGTCGTTCAAATTCCTCTTTGAAGTTGCCATTTTTAAATGTCTAATATTTAGGTAAGTGGGCAGGTGACAAAGCTAAAATGGCAATAGGAACAATGAACAGAAAAAAAGTCAAGTACATAGCTTGTATAATTTACTTAACAAGTACCCAGTGATTCACATAGGTAATATTGATAGGTTATTTTGTTATTGATAGTTTTATTTCGTCACTTTTTGGTTTTTTTTATTTTGCAGCTAAACCCTCAAAACCAAGCGGCATGGTAACAAGCTCACTTACCAATACAACTGCATCAGTAACATGGAATGCTTCAATCTCGGATTTTCCTACTGAAAGCTACAATGTAGTTCTTAAGAAAAAGTCTGATGGCTCAACACACGAAACACAGAATAACTTGAAGACCACAACAGCATCGTTTGCGGGCCTAAGTGCAAACACCGACTTCACAATCGAGGTTTCTGCAAAATCATCACCTCACAATATAAATTCAGATACGGGAACCTTTGACTTTAAAACAGACGAAGGAGGTAGCGAGATTTCTCTATCATCGTTTGTTACTTAAGCTAAAGCCTGTTTCAAATTTGTTGTATTTACGATTTTCTCAATGTCCTAGCATTGTTGTGTGTGGAGGTTTTGCCGCAAGAAGACGTAGATAAACAACGAATCATTTTAAACCCTCGTTTCACAAAATAGAATCTTTATTGGCTGTCAATGTATATTATTCTTTGTATCTCACAATCACCTGTCGTGAGTTAGGAATCAAACTCGCGTTATTTGAATCTTGTTGGTCAATCACAGAGAATCTGTCTTTAGCTCGCGCTACGGTTGCTATAGTATGAAGCCTTCCCAGATGAGTTGGAGGTTTATATTTATCATCCAAAAAAACCATGGGGACTCGTTTTTTATAAGATACTGGCTATAAGAAACGAGTACTGGACAGTCAGAAAAACTAAGAAACTTCAGTACTAGAAGCAAAAAAATTAATAAAATATTAACTCGTGATAAAACTTAAAACAAGGAAACTTCGTAAAATACAAGAACATCATTGCCCTGTTGGCCTAGAACTGAAAACACGAGGGATAAAAATATACTTCCCACACCTAATATATTTCAAAACAACATTCGTGACATCATAAATAAAAAACTCTTAATAAAAAATGAGTATTCAAATTTTCAAAACATTAAGAAACTGGAGTACTCAACATCGACCTTTGTTACTTATAAAAAAATGAGTGTACATGTAATAAATCAGAAGTGAAACAAAACAAAGGAAAAACCAAAGTTTGACAATTGAAATTGTTTGAAAAACAGAGTAAGACATATTGCTATCAGCTTATGCAAAGAAAGAGTAGATATTTTTTAATATGAGCAACGCTAGAAATATGATTAATGCATTTGCAGTCAAAAAATTTCAGAGGTTTGTTTCTCACGGAAGCCACCGCTATGTTGAATTTGTAAGCATAGCAGTCAAATCTTTGATTGGCTGAGAGCTCTGTTCGCTACCATGTTCTAAGCCAATTAGCACACAGGATTCTCACAACAAAATCGCTTCACAGCTAGAATTAGGCCCATTTTAGCCATTTCAGCGTGTTTCTACCACATCGTCTACAAAAAACATTGCACGCCTCTACAGCGAATTTCTACTTTATTTTTTGTCCAGTTCATCATCATGCGTTGCTATTTAACCTATATTGGCGCCACTGTTCGATCACAAAGAATAATATAAAAAAACACCTCGCAAATGATTGCTAAATTTTGTGTCGAGACTCAAGTAAATTACGTTTTTACCTCTCCCCATCCAAAGTGCTTTAGACATGTCAAGAAAAGACCAGTCAGTTTTTCACTTAAAAAGATCTTCAGAAGAATTCCACCATTCGGAAATCATCATTGTCACAGTGAAAGTGCCCGATCCTCATCGGTTTATGATCATAACCTTTCATGACAATATTACATTGTAAACCCAGAAGTTCTTTGATTTCACAAAATGCCAATACAACATGTGACTTGATTTGTCTCAAAGTACATATCCTGTAAAAGTATTAATGTAATTGCCAAAAGTGGCATCGATAGAAAAGCACTTTGTATGTTTCCACTGTACTTTTTTTCCTTCTCATGATGTTATTTTCTTCCTTCTTAAAAGAGAACAGGTATGTTAATGTTCCTTACTGACCTTTTCACTAGGGACGAGGGAGTTGCTGTACAGCACACCCGCTTAGTTCACTAATTTTTTGCCTTGTCTCTGCTTGATACACGTAAATTGATTTGCACGTTGTTCATTAGTCTCTTTGGTTGCTTAGTTGAATTTACCCCCCGTCAAGTCCAATAAAAAAACAATCTTGTCCCGTCAATGAAGCCCATCCTATTGACATAACTCGGTCCTATTTTCAGTAAGGTCACTATTAAAACTTACTTATTACTGATGTTCTATTGTCAACAGAACCAAGCCAGCCGCAGAATGTGAAGCTTTCTAGTAAAACATCTTCTTCCGTTCTTGTCAACATCACTAAGCCATTACGAGAAAATGGAATCGTTAGAAATTATACTGTAAGTATAATCGATGTATCTAATGTACTGAATAAAGCCAATTGCCAGTATTTGCCCATCAATAGAAAGTTTGTTTCTTTTCAAATTGTCTGGTGACACCATTTTTTGTAAATTAGTTGATGTATAACGGCTTTGGTAGTAGATGTAGCTAATATCCTTGAAGACTTTAATAATGTGATCCAATTTTTTGAGCTCCCTTTATTCATATACATTTTCAGGTGAGGTATTTTGGCAGAAAATCTTACAACAGCACCTTTGAACACAACGGTTTTATAACAGTTGTTCGGAGATTCCATTCAGAATTTACTTCTAAAACGCTGAGCAACCTCGTCCCGGCTACAAATTACACAATCGATGTTGCTGCAGTAACCGGAGGTGGAAGGGGTATCTTTAGTGGAAGGGTTACCTTTGAAACAAACTATGCAGGTATTTATTTTTTTAATTAGCAATAAAGAATGTTGCAGGATCCAATGCATAAACTAAGGCTTTATGTGCACAAATGAATTTCGAGTAAAAATTGATTTGTTTTAGCTAGGTTTGTTGTCTATGGTAAATTTCAATGACGTTTCTATTAAACTAGTATTATTGAGCAATGGTGTTTTGCTTATGAGTATTTACCTGAAATCCTCCTCGGGGGCAAATGCCTCTGCCCTTCCTTGGCTAAAAATTATTAAAAAGCTTTAATTCTTACAGGTTTATTGCAAACAGACCCGAATAATTCATAATTTTATTTTACAGTTTTTTGTATTTCTTTGAATGTTTATGTCTATGTCTATAGTCAGGTTAATTTTTTTTCCCGTTCGATTCTTATGTCAATTTTAGTGTTTATCAATAAGATCATTATTTTTTCTCATTTCATATAACTTTTTTCATATAACTTTGGTTATGTTCGTAGAGAAATGTGCTAAAATAGCCTCTCGGTTATTATCACGCTTTGTTTTTTCTTGTTTTTTAACCCGTTCTTATTTTCAAAATCAAGTTTTCATAAAACCATTTTTAAAGATAAAAGCACAATTTAATGTTTCTGTGAATTTTTTATGTAATTTTAGCCTCGTTAAAATGGCCATTTCTTTTAGCCCCACCAAAACCAACAATGGAAAATCAGGGTTCAATCGGAAGAAAACTCACAGTGAGAATTGGTACTGCAAGCGATATTAATGGACGAATAAGGTTTTATTTATTTTCATTACATTTCTCTTTTCTTCTAACGGCTTTTTTTCCGTTGTCCATAAAATTTTTATGCCAGATATCTACTTGGTGAATTTCTGTGCAATTTGTTAATAAACAGAAAAATATCGTTCATTTTGGATATGCTGAACGTCTTTGCACATTCATAGTTTTTTGTTTTTTTCCTTTGCTATAAATATCTATTTGGTCAAATTTTGAGCAAGAAACAGATTTTGTCAAAAAATTATATTCTTTATCTTGAATACTGTTGAATGTCTTGGTACATTATTAGTTTCTTCGTATTCTTTTTCTTTTCTATGAACAGCGAATACCGGCTGTCTTTTCTGGAAGGAAATGCAATTACTTGTCAACAAAGCAGTTCTGCAGAGACAATTGTTCCTTCTAAACTGCCATTAAAGCTTGAGTTTATACCTGGAGTGAAATCAGTTGCACATATTTCGACGGAGCTTAAAACATTGGCAAATTACACCATCTGCTATCGTGCTGCAACAACCAACAAGGTAAATAAGATATTAATCAGATTCCTGTTACTGTATGTTCATTTAGAACCGCTGTAGCAAAGAAGTAAAGACTAGGATCATGTGTCTGTCTTATTTGAATTGCAATAGAGTCTTCCCATCGAAGGGTCTTTCAATTAATGTATGAAGGAATTTTAACGGTTTTTAGCTACGTAATAACCAAAGCAAGCTCTCTGGTTTAGTGTAGCAATGCAAAAATAGTTTAATGTTATGCTTGTAACTTGCATTTCAATATTTATTTTGTTGAGCGTTTTCTTGAATGGCAAGAAAGTAATGATCGAGGGTTTGCTTAAAGGAATTCAGATAGAAAATGAGAGAAGTATAACTTATCAATTGAATTCAGATAGAATGTGAAACTGGCTTCAAAAGCAAGGGGGTAATTTTAAGAATAAACGTCAGGAACTAAGCCACATGACGAAGAGAAGTGAATATATGGAAATAGATATTCATAATGAATTGAATCCAATTAATATATAATATAGGAGAATTGTCCATGTAGAGGTGCTTTGTCGTCAAGTTTTAAAACCTGTCAGAAAATAAAGGATGACTCTTTGTCGGCAAATTGGGCTTTTGCACCTTGTGTAAAAGAGCTAGCAACGATTTTTCTCATGTAACACCCTTCCACATAATCTAAGGCCCTACTCACACGATCCCGGGATCATTTGGCATCGGATCTCTTCACATATTGGATAGGTCTTCTGTTCGCAAGATGACGCATGAATCCGCTACGCTCCGTATTGTTTTTGTGGAATCAAATAGGATCACTTTGGAATGAAATCATATCGGATCTCTTTTGATCTCGCTTGAAAGCATGAATCCGATAGTATTGAACTTGCTCGAATATGAAAGATGCACATTTATTGAAGTTACATTTGCTTATATTTCCCCAGGATATAGCGTATTACAGTCAATTTACAAGCACGATTATAGGTAAGTTTGCCACATTGAAACTTTGTACATTTAAATATTATGCCGATGCATTATTATTGAAGGCCAAATCTAAATTGATATATTTTTTAAAAAAACTGTCTGGTTATTGCATTGAGCGTAAAGCTGAGAAATGTAAGTTACAACATCCCTGTGCATCAAACCAGGGCGTTTGTCTTGAAATATATTTGTTGATCTGATTAATAAAATTTGTTTTGTTCTTCATTTTACATCTTTTATAACTTCACGTATTCCCCTTTTGCAGTTTACAGGCCCCAATTTAATATTTGGTACTTTTTGAAATTTAGATAAATACCGTGTTTATTTTGTTATCTTGAGTTATTCACGTT